GAAAACTATCCAACTTTGGTTTTTAAACCCTCAGCTCTCATCCATCTGTTGCAACTGAAATCTGTAGCAGAGCACAAAATAGAGTTATAATGTTCACAGCTTATAATAAAAATGAAGTAAAAATTGAGGTAAATGTAGCCTTTGTTCAACAAATGCTATTATTGTACTAACGTATCCATTTTTTTTAAGACAAACAAGATTCATGCAAATTCATGTCACTAAGAGTAACATGTGGGACTGGAATGGTGCCCAAAAAAAGGTACAAGGATCTAAGTAAATAAACACTAAACAAGCAATTCATTATCTGGCTTTCCGTCATGGGGCACATACTCATGCTTCAAAATGAAAACATAAAGAAAAATGACCTCTAAAAGCTATAAAGACAACTATTCCTTCATGAATCTCCACAGAGCTCTTCGTGAGCCAATATATGAATATCCTAGGCTTTCAAAGACAGATTTTTTCATGTTTAATTTATGTAGTACCTTTTTGTTAAAGTGCTAAAAGTATTTTAAAACCCTTTAGATCATGTGTCTATTTTATGTTACACTTATTTTTCTAAGGCAAATTCACTATCTAAAAATTACATGTTCTAGAGTTGACTTTTTTCTCCACCATATCTTAAAATACTAGTTAGTGAACTCTAACTAGTCTATACGAAGATAAACTTTTTATGCTGCTTAGACTACAGACAATTATTGTAACATGAAAAAAAAAACAGTTTTAAACTTAACATGTTTGTTCAAGATATTAAGATATTAAGGTATTTTCTGGATGAACAATTACTTTTTTTATTTCTGTTTATAAAATGTATTGGGGTAATATTGGTTAATAAGACCAAAGTATTTCAGAGGCCACTGTTCCTTTGATAAGTCCTTCTACCACAGAGTCCACAGGCAGGAGCCATATCTGAGACTCCATCAACTTGGCTCACACTTTTTGTCCTGCCCTGGTAATCTCTGAGGCCTGCTCCAGCCAATATTTAGGCCCACCCAAGGTGTCTCCAGTGGCTTTTCCATAGGAATGGCCTGTCATGGCTCATGTTTCATATTTTCCTAAAATCTCTCAAACAAGGAGCATTTGGCTTCAGCACAACACATGCCTCTTGTTATGTGGCCACTCCTGGGCATTTTCAAGCCAAGCACAAGTAGCAACCATCTATAGATCACTTTGTAGCTCATGCTGGGGAGCCCTGGGCAGAACACAGGCAGTGGCTGGCCTTGGCGTGTACCTTCTAGGAGTCCCCAGAGACAGTACACCCAGTGGACAGTTTCAGATCACATAGAAGCACCATCCAACTACCTTCACAAGTGATACACTCAAGGGATGGACTCAGCGGGTACCAGAACCCTGCTAAAGCAGTCCTGCTCTATGGGGTGGGTCCCTGCAAAGCAAATCCTCCACAATGGTAGGAGTTTGGTAGTTGCAGTCAGTCCTTGCAGCTGATCAGCTTGGGGTAAATCCCTCTCATTGATGTGCCAACAGCAATCAAGGCTCAACAAGAGGAGAGTGTAAGTCTACATGGAGGGGGGTGCACTTTGATTACCCAGCTTAGGTGATCAGGGAGGCTGTGCCAGCCACTGGACCATATAGAACACTGACTACCTTAGCCCATTATACCAAGCCTAGGAGATGTATCAGCTCTACCTAATACATAGAAACAAATACAGGAGGCTACCAAAATGGGGAGACAAAGAATCACATCACAAATGAAAGAAAAGAACAAACTCTAGAAAAAGCACTAAAAATAATGGAGACAAGCAATCTACTAAAAGCAGAGTTCAAAACACTGGTTATAAGGATGCTCAATGAATTTAGAACCTCAACAGCATTAAAAAAAGGACTAATCAGAAATGAACGATACACTAGATGAAATGAAGAATAAATGACAGTGAGAACAGATGAAGCCGAGAATCAAATTGGCTATTTGAAATATAAGGAAGAAAAAAAACAACAACACCCAATCATAACTGCAAAAAAAGAAAAAAGATTTCAAAAAATGAAAATAGTATAAGGAGTCTCTGGAGCAATGATAAGCATACCAAAACATTTGCATAATGGGAGTGCTGGAAGGAGAAGAGAAAGAGCGAGAAATTTAAAACTTATTTGAAAAAATAATGACAGAAAACTTCCCTAATCTGGTGAAGGAAAAAGACATACAAGTACAGGAAGCACAGAGAGTCCCAAACAAGAGGAACCCAAAGATGCCCATACCAAGACACCTCATAATTAAAATGCCAAAGGTTAAAGACAAAGAGACAGTCTTAAAAGCAGCAAGAGAAAAGCAGTTAGTTACCTACAAGGGAGTACCCATACGACTGTCAGTTGATTTCTAAAAAGAAACTTTGAAGGCCAAAAGGGATTGACAAGAAATATTCAAAGTGAGGAAAAGCAAGGGCCTATAGCAGGGGTGGGCAAACTTTTTGACTCGAGGGCCACAATGGGTTCTTAAACTGGACCGGAGGGCTGGAACAAAAGCATGGATGGAGTGTTTGCGTGAACTAATATAAATTCAAAGTAAACATCATTACATAAAAGGGTACGGTCTTTTTTTTTTTTTTTTAGTTTTATTCATTTCAAACGCGCCAGATCCGGCCCGCGGGCCGTAGTCTTCCCACGGCTGGCCTATAGCCAAGATTACTCTATCCAGCAAAGCTATCATTTAGAAGTGAATGATATTTAAAGAGCTTAGCAGACAGAAAAAAGTAAAGGAGTTCATCACTACCAATGTTAAAGGGTATTTTTTAAAAAGAAGAAAATAAAGATAAAAATATGAACAATGAAATGGCAATAAATATATTCTTTGAAAAGATTAATAAAATTTACAAAGCATTGCTAGACTCACTAAGGAAAAGTGAGAAAAGACACCTAATAAACAAAACCAGAAATTAAAGAGAAGTTATTGTAGACATCACTGAAATACAAAGGATCATACAAGAATACTATGAAAACTATATGCAACCAAATTCAATAACCTAGAACAGGGGTGGGCAACCCCTGGCATGCGTGCCAAACATGGCACGCCAGTAACTTTTGCTGGCACGTGAAATCCTCTCTTATAATCTTCCATTTACAATTTTTTTCTTAATATCGACTTTTTTATTTTTCAGATAAATTCAGTGTAGGTGCATCTTAGATAAATAAATACATTAAAAAATAAATGTATTTTTCATCAACATATACTGTGTTTTTGTCACTCGAATAAATTTTATTATTTCTTCAAGGTTCTTCACATACGTACACCATAAGAGATATCAAGTAGGCATAACATGTTCTCAAAAAATTAGGGTTGGCACGCAGAAGAATTTTGAGTCAGAGATTTTGCTGGTTTTGGCACGCACTCACAAAAAGGTTGCCCACCCCTGACATAGAAGAAATGTATAAGTTACTAGAAATATATAACCTTCCTAGACTGAATTATGAAGACCTGGAAAACCTAAGTAGACCTATCAATAGTGAGGAGATTGAAACAATCATCAAAAACTTCCCAACAAATAAAAGTTAAGGACCGGATGGCTTCACTAGTGAATTCTACCAAACAGTCAAAGATTTGATACCTATTCTTTGTTCAAACTCTTCCAAAATATTGAAGAAGAGGCAGTACCTCCTAACACATTTTATAAGACCAACATAATCCTGTACCAAAACCCAGCAAGGATAACACACATACACACAAAAACTGCAGACCAATATCTCTGATGAATACAGATGCAAAAACCCTAAACAAAATATTATCAAATTGAATATAACAACACTTTAAAAAAAATATATCATGATCAAGTAGGGTTCACTGCAGAGGCACAAGGATGGTATATGCAAATCGATCAATGTAATACACCACATTAACACAACAAAGGATAAAAAAAATCATACAACTGTATCAATAGATGCAGAAAAAGAATTTGATAAGATACAACATCCATTTATGATTAAAACACTCAATAAAATGGGTACAGAAGGAAAGTGCCTCAACAAAATAAAGGCAGTATATGACAAATCCTCAGCTAATATCATACTCAATGGGGAAAAACTGAAAGCTTTTCCTCTAAGATCAGGAACAAGACAGGGATGTCCTCTCTCACCATTGTTATTCAACGTAGCACTGGATGTCCTAGCCAGAGTAATCAGGCAAGAGAAAAAAAATAAAAGGCATCCAAAATGGGAATGAAGAACAATTTCTTTATATACCCATAAAAAGTTATATAAAAGATACATGTCAGTAGATTCTTAAGAACACATAACAAAAAGGAAGATTTAAACAGATCCTAAAATTTGATCCAATTGACTCACGTAAGTTTTAAGGTAAAACATAGTAATTGAAGACTACTTACTTAGTGTAATTCAGACAAGAGCATATCTTAGTATCTAAATAATAAATCCCAGAAAAAATGTTATTTAAATATAAAAATGCACAGATAAATGATCCTCCGCTTTATAAAAAAAAGCAGGTATATTCTTATTTCAATCCTAAACCAGCCTGCAGGCCTGATGTGGTTGTAAAAGATTTTATCCTCAGATAACAGGGCAGCATAGTTTATGACAACAATCTACCTAAAAACTCATTAAAGTTTTTTTTTCTTTTGGAGTGACATGCATTATCAGCAGAGATTAATCTGATGAGTCTTTAGGTGAGCTCCATTTTTAAAAATGCAATAACAGAGGGCTTTGTTGTCATCTGATGAAAATCAATTAGAGGAGGTAAGGCCACAAGGAAAACTAAAATCACTCATCACCCACCCCTGGCAGCTGAAATGATTTGTCTTCCAAGCTTGGATGATCAGGAGCTATAGTCATATTGCAGAGAAATTAATTTAGTTTCTATATTCTGAACTCACTTTCCTTGTTCTGGAGGATCCAAACACAAATTACTTTTAATCAAGGTTGATATGTTATTAACACCAAGGAGGATCTTTGAAGAATCATTTTTTAAAAATTGACTTTAGCATTTTTCACCTGTGCTTGAGGTGTAACTATAGGAAGGTAACTTATATCATCCTTACTTTCTGGATTCTTTGTCCACAACAAGGCACTGCACTGAATGGCGAAGACAATATATTCCACCAAATACAGCACACATCCTAGAAGAGAATAGGAAAATGAGAATTAGGATTATTGAGTTGAAAATTAAAGTAACATTATTTTTTAAGTATCTTACATTTAATAACTGGTCTTACAGAAAAAGCACCTTGATAATTTGTTATTTTCTCTATCATGGTATTAAGAATATTTCAGAAATAAGATTAGTGATAGTTTGACACAACAGAAGTCCTACTGCTAATAATACATTGTGGAAACCTAGAATTGTGACCAAACCAAAAGTATCCCTAAGAAAGCTCAACTATTACCCTCCCCGCTCTACCCAAACCAGCTACCAACTACCTAAGAAACACAGGCTACAAAGAGTCTCAAGAGGTGATGTATGAGATTCCCCCCTGCAACAGAAGTGATGACAGAGAAGTCTTAAGGAGAAAATAAGCAGGGAAGACTCTGGGGGATTCCTGGTGATTTTGCTTACCATAAAAGTAAGCAAAACTAAACAGAGAACTGAAATTAGAGCAGTAAGCACATGAGTTAATGCTGGAGAAGCTCTAAGGAGTTAGCCTATCTCACGAATGTAAGGGTTTGTGTTTTAATGCCCACCAAGAGAAAGGAGAGGTTTTGGGTTCCAAACAAGGCAGGTAATAGGAAAGTAAATATTCTCTCATAATGTCTGAATCCTTAAAGGACTACACCTCAGTAAAAGAGTGATCTAGGGGAAAATTACTTACTACAAGAAGGAGAAAACAAACAAAAAATGTTTCCTCTAAAGCCATGGGTGGAGGAAGATTACCTCTATATTTATAACCAGTAGTCTTCCCTCACACAGTTTGAGGGTGTGAAATTAAATTACTACGTTACCCAAGAAACCTTGACAAATAAAATAGCATGAAAAGTGGCTCTGGGTCATTAGTACCCCCAGAGTCTTGGTGGAAGCAATATTATCTCAACCCAGGCCAAGTGAGATTGCCACAAATTGAGTTCCCTTGCAATGAGTTTATAATCTAAAATTATACAACAGATGAAGAAACATATCTTATCCTGAGTGAGAATTAACAGACATGACAAACAGAAGGATTAGACTCTCGACAACTGTATTCAGATCATAGAACTATCAGACAGAGACTATGAGTATCCTTAAAAGGGATGAGTTAAAAACCTAAGAATAATGGAAAGAAGGTTGTGGTAGGCTGAATAATGCCATCACCAATGATGTTCACATTCTAATCTCTGAAACCTGTGGATATGTTCCTTTACAAAGCAAGAGAAACCAAATTAAGTATCTTGAGAAGGAAATTAACCGATTATCCCAGCAGATGCAATGTAGAAAATTAACTTTCTAGAGAAAGGGAAATTAACTCGATTATCCCAGTGGAAGCAATGTCATTAGAAAGATACTTAAAAAGGAAGCAGGGTGCTCAAAGTCAGAGAAGCTCTAAAGATGGAAGCAGAGATTAAACTGATACCATTGCTGGAAGCGGGTAACAAGGCAAGGAATGCAGGGAGCCTTTAAGAGCTAGAAAAGGCAAGAACCAGATTCTCCCTTAAAGCCCCAAGAGGAATGCATTCCTACCTACCCAATTTAGACCTCTGACCCTAGAACTATAACAAATTCATTTTGTTTTAAGCTACTAAGTTTGTGGAAATTTGTTACGTGAGCAATAGCACACTAATAAAAGATGCATAAGTATACGGACATGATCATGACAGCAGTGGAATTACAGACCAGTGGAGAAAAGAATGGACTACTGGAAAACTGATTTTGAGACAATATAGAGAAAATAATTATATCCCTGTTTTACACCATATTCAGAATCAAATCTAGGTAGATGACAGGCATAAATATAAAAGGGGAAACTTCTAGAAAAAAATATAGGCAGATATATTTTGGGGCTCAACAAAAATATTTCTTTAAAAAGATACAAAAATAAAAATCATTAAAAAAATAGAAAAAAAAATGGCCCAGATTCCACAATGGTGGCAGAGTAAGTGACAGCTACAGTGACATGCTCCTAGGCCTAAACTAGAATTATAACTTAAAATACAGAAAAACCATCCTGAATGATCAACTGACTACTAGCTGGAGAGAACCACTATAACCAAGGACAGAAAGTGGAGACCACATAGAGACTGGTAGGAAGTGCGGAGGTGCAGAAGGCTGGCCAGGCTCTCACAGGCAGAAGCTTAAGTTCCAGAGGGATATCTCAGCTGTGGGGGTTTCCACTAAGAATTCTTGGGTCTAAACCCCAAGGTGGGCTCCAAGCCCAGAGCATCAGAACTGAGAAAGTTGCCTACAGACCATCTGGCGGTGAAAAGCAGCAGGGGTGCTGTGTGTCAGGGAGAGATGACTCAAAATGCAGGCAGTCTCTTAAAAGGCCAATGCACAAAATTTTGTGTGCAGCCACTCACCTTGGGCTTTGGCAGAAGGAGGGCAAAGGAAGGGCAGAGTGGACTGGAGCAGTGTGAGCAGAAGCCAGGGTTGGGGCTGCTAGGGTTAAACTTGGAAGGCAGATACCCTGGTTTCCTGTGCTGAGTCATTCCCTCAAACATTAGAAAAAAATATTTCTCCAGTGGACCTTTAACTATCCAGGTGGCTTTTGCCTGGGGGGGGGGGGGGGGAAGGGGCATGGGGCACAATTGCCCAACCCTATTGGAAAAACCCTTGCCCCACTCTGTGGCATTTCAAAGGCCCCTTAAAAGACTGAGGATAACAATCAGCTTGCAGGGAGAAGCTACTGCTCCATCCTGTTGGAAAAACCTCTCCTTCTAGACTATGGTCCATAGCCAGAGGCTATTTAAGACTGAATAACAATCAGACTGCAGGTACATATGGGTCTCTGGAGGCTATGAGTCTCTGGCTGGGGCTACAAAAAGAAGACCTTGGTGAACATCTTGGTTCTTTCCAAAGGCACTCAGCCCCAGCAGAAGGAGCTACAAGATGTGGATTGTTGATACCTTCAAACAGGGTACTCAGAGCCAGTTATAAACAGCATCTGATGTTGTCCTAGACTAGAAATTGGGAGTCATAGTAGATTTACCTAATACATAACGCAAAAACCCAAACAGGCAGCCAAAATAGGGAGACAAAAAAAACAAGCTCCAAATGAAAGAACAAGAGAATTCTCCAGAAGAGATAAATGAAATAAAGATAAGAAATTTATCAAACATAGAGTTCAGAATAATGATAGCAAGGATGCCCAACAGCATGAGAAAAGATATAGTAACTATGAATAATTATATAGCACTAATGAGAGCACAGTGGAAGTAATACACAACAGATTAGGGGAAACTGAGGGTCAGATCAGTGAATTAGAAGACAGGGTAGAAAAAAATCTCTCAATCAGAGAACCAAAAAGAAAAACAATTAAAGAACAGGAGGACAGCTTAAGGGAGCTGTGGGATAACATGAAATGTAACAATATCCTCAGAATAGGTGCCAGAAGGGTAAGAAAATGAGGAAGTGATAGAGAATGTGTTTGAAAAAAAATAATGCCAGAAAACTTCCCTAACATGGTAAAGGAAAACGTCACACAAGTTCAGGAGGCACAGAGTCCCAAGCAAGAAGAACCCAAACAGGCCCACGCCCAAACACATCATAATTAAAATGCCAAAAACTAAAGACAGAGAGAGAATCTTAAAGGAAACAAGAGAAAAGCAACCTGTTACCTAGAAAGGAGCTCCCATAAGGCTGTCAGCTGATTTCTCATCAGGAACTCAACAGGCCAGAAGGGAATGGCATGAAGTATTCAAAGTAATGAAAAGCAAGGATCTGAAACCAAGATTACTTTATCCAAGAAAGCCATCATTCAAAATAGATGGTGAAATAAAAAGCTTGCCAGACAAAAAAAAAAGGTTAAATAAGTTTATTGCCACCAAATCAGCACTGCAAGCAATGCTAAAGGAACTGCTGTAATAATAAGAAGTAGAGAGAAATATAGGCATAAAGAATTAAAATGGCAATAAATAAGTACCCGTCAATAATAATATTAAATGTAAACAGATTATATGCTTCAATCAAAGACATGAAGTGGATGAATGAATATGAAAACATGACCCAAATATATGCTGTCTAAAGAGACCCACCTCAAAACAAGACTCACACAGGATGAGAGTGAAGGGATGGAAAAAAAAATTCCATGCAAATGGAAACAAAAACCTGGCATAGCAATACTCATATCTGACAAAATAGACTCAAAATGAAGGCCAATACAGGAGACAATAAAGGTCATTACAAAATACTAAAGGGATCTATCCAACAAGAGTATATAACCCTGGTAAACATATATGCACCAAATATAGGAGCACCTAAATACATAAAAAAACAACAAAAAAAAAACCCCAAACAAAACAAAACAAAAACTTCTGGAGGACATTAAGGGAGAAATCAACAGCAGTACAGTCATAGTATGGGACTTCAACAACCCAGTGACTTCATTGGATAGACCTTCCAAATAAAAAATCAACAAGGAAACAGTGACTCTAAATGACACATTGGATCAGATGGATTTAATTGACATTTATAGAACATTTCACCTCAAAACTGCAAAATATACTTTCTTCTCAAGTTCACATGGGTCATTCTCAAAGATAGAGCACATGCTAGAACACAAAACAAGTCTCTACATGTTAAAGAAGATTAAAATCATATGAAGTATCATCTCAGATTACAATGGAATGAAATTAGAAATTGACTATAATAAAAACACTCATTTACACCATGGAATGCTATGCAGCAGTAAAAAAGAAGGATCTCTTAGCCTTTGTGACAGCATGGAGGGACCTGTAGAGTATTATGCTAAGTGTAATAAGCCAGTGAGAGAAAGACAAGTATCACATGATCTCACGCATATGTGGAATCTAATGAACAAAATAAACTGATGAAAAAAAGAGATACAAAGACATAGAAACATAGACCAGACTGTCGAATCTCAGAGGGAAGGCAGAGGTGGGTGGATGAGTGGGAAGAGATCAACCAAAGAACTTGTATGCATACATGCATAACCCATGGACACAGACAATAGTGTAATGAAGAACTGGGGTA